ACAACATTAGAATAATTGGGATCCCAGAAGAAGAAGAAAGAGAGAGAGGGGCAGAAGGTATAATGGAGCGAATTATAGCAGAGAACTTCCCTAATTTGGGGAAGGAAACAGGCATGAAAATCCAGGAAGCACAGAGAACCCCTCTCAAAATGAATAAAAATAGGTCAACACCCCGACATCTAATAGTAAAACTTACAAGTCTCAGAGACAAAGAGAAAATCCTGAAAGCAGCTCGGGAGAAGAGATATGTAACCTACAAGGGTAGAAACATTAGATTGGCAACAGACCTATCCACAGAGACCTGGCAGGCCAGAAAGGACTGGCATGATATATTCAGAGCACTAAATGAGAAAAATATGCAGCCAAGAATACTATATCCAGCTAGGCTGTCATTGAAAATTGAAGGAGAGATAAAAAGCTTCCAGGACAAACAAAAACTAAAGGAATTTGCAAACACAAAACCAGCCCTACAGGAAATCTTGAAAGGGGTCCTCTAAGCAAAGAGAGAGCCTAAAAGCAACATAGACCAGAAAGGAACACAGACAATATACGGTAACAGTCACCTTACAGGCAATACAATGGCACTAAATTCCTATCTTTCAATAGTTACCCTGAATGTAAATGGGCTAAATGCCCCAATCAAAAGACACAGGCTATCAGACTGGATTAAAAAACAAGACCCATCGATATGCTGTCTACAAGAGACTCATTTTAGAACCAAAGACACCCCCAGATTGAAAGTGAGGGGGTGGAAAACCATTTACCATGCTAATGGACACCAAAAGAAAGCTGGGGTGGCAATCCTTATATCAGACAAATTAGATTTTAAACCAAAGACTGTAATAAGAGATGAGGAAGGACATTATATCCTACTTAAAGGATCTATCCAACAAGAAGATCTAACAATTGTAAATATCTATGCCCCTAACATGGGAGCAGCCAATTGTATAAGCCAATTAATAACAAAAGCAAAGAAACACATCGACAACAATAGAATAATAGTGGGGGACTTTAACACCCCCCTCACTGAAATGGACAGATCGTCTAAGCAAAAGATCAACAGGGAAATAAAGACTTTAAATGACACACTGTACCAAATGGACTTCACAGACATATTCAGAACATTCCACCCCAAAGCAACGGAATACACATTCTTCTCTAGTGCCCATGGAACATTCTCCAGAATCGATCACATCCTAGGTCATAAATCAGGTCTCAACCGGTACCAAAAGATTGGGATCATTCCCTGCCTATTTTCAGACCACAATGCTTTGAAACTAGAACTCAATCACAAGAGGAAAGTCGGAAAGAACTCAAATACATGGAGGCTAAAGAGCATCCTACTGAAGAATGAATGGGTCAACCAGGAAATTAAAGAATTAAAAAAATACATGGAAACCAATGAAAATGAAAACACAACTATTCAAAATCTTTGGGATGCAGCAAAGGCAGTCCTAAGAGCAAAGTATATAGCAATACAAGCCTTTCTCAAGAAACAAGAAAGGTCTCAAGTACACAACCTAACCCTACACCTAAAGGAGCTGGAGAAAGAACAGCAAATAAAGCCTAAACCCAGCAGGAGAAGAGAAATCATAAAGATCAGAGCAGAAATCAATGAAATAGAAACTAAAAGAACAGTAGAACAGATCAACGAAACCAGGAGCTGGTTCTTTGAAAGAATTAACAAGATTGATAAACCCCTGGCCAGACTTATCAAAAAGAGAAGAGAAATGACCCAAATCAACAAAATCATGAATGAAAGAGGAGAGATCACAACCAACACCAAAGAAATACAAACAATTATAAGAACATATTATGAGCAACTCTATGCCAGCAAATTAGATAACCTGGAAGAAATGGAGGCATTCCTAGAGATGTATCAACTACCAAAACTGAACCAGGATGAAATAGAAAACCTGAACAGACCTATAACCACTAAGGAAATTGAAGCAGTCATCAAAAATCTCCCAAAAAACAAAAGCCCAGGGCCAGATGGCTTCCCAGGGGAATTCTACCAAACATTTTAAGAAGACTTAATACCTATTCTTCTGAAACTGTTCCAGAAAATAGAAATGGAAGGAAAACTTCCAAACTCATTTTATGAGGCCAGCATTACCTTGATCCCAAAACCAGACAAAGACCCCATCAAAAAGGAGAATTACAGACCAATATCCCTGATGAACATGGATGCAAAAATTCTCACCAAAATACTAGCCAATAGGATCCAACAGTACATTAAAAGGATTATTCACCACGACCAAGTGGGATTTATCCCTGGGCTGCAAGGTTGGTTCAACATCCGCAAATCAATCAATGTGATACAATACATTAACAAAGAAAGAACAAGAATCATATGATCCTCTCAATAGATGCAGAAAAAGCTTTTGACAAAGTACAGCATCCTTTCTTGATCAAAACTCTTCAGAGTATAGGCATAGAGGGTACATACCTCAATATCATAAAAGCCATCTATGAAAAACCTACAGCAAATATCATTCTCAATGGGGAAAAACTGAGAGCTTTCCCCCTAAGGTCAAGAACATGGCAGGGATGTCCACTATCACCACTGCTATTCAACATAGTATTGGAAGTCCTAGCCACAGCAATCAGACAACAAAAAGAAATCAAAGGCATCCAAATTGGCAAAGAAGAAGTCAAACTCTCACTCTTTGCAGATGATATGATACTTTATGTGGAAAACCCAAAAGACTCCACCCCAAAACTACTAGATCTCATACAGGAATTCAGTAAAGTGGCAGGATATAAAATCAATGCACAGAAGTCAGTGGCATTCCTATACACCAACAACAAGACAGAAGAAAGAGAAATTAAGGAGTCGATCCCATTGACAATTGCACCCAAAACCATAAGATACCTAGGAATAAATCTAACCAAAGAGACAAAGGATCTTTACTCAGAAAACTATAAAATACTCATGAAAGAAATTGAGGAAGACACAAAGAAATGGAAAAACGTTCCATGCTCATGGATTGGAAGAACAAATATTGTGAAGATGTCAATGCTACCTAGAGCAATCTACACATTCAATGCAATCCCCATCAAAATACCATCCACTTTTTTCAAAGAAATGGAACAAATAATCCTAAAATTTGTATGGAACCAGAAAAGACCCCGCATAGCCAGAGGAATGTTGAAAAAGAAAAGCAAAGCTGGCGGCATCACAATTCCGGACTTCCAGCTCTATTACAAAGCTGTCATCATCAAGACAGCATAGTACTGGCACAAAAACAGACACATAGGTCAATGGAACAGAATAGAGAGCCCAGAAATGGACCCTCAACTCTATGGTCAACTCATCTTTGACAAAGCAGGAAAGAATGTCCAATGGAAAAAAGACAGTCTCTTCAACAAATGGTGTTGGGAAAATTGGACAGCCACATGCAGAAGAATGAAACTGGACCATTTCCTTACACCACACACAAAAATAGACTCCAAATGGTTGAAAGAACTCAATGTGAGACAGGAGTCCATCAACATCTTAAAGGAGAACACAGGCAGCAACCTCTTTGACCTCAGCTGAAGCAACTTCTTCCTAGAAACATCGCCAAAGGCAAGGGAAGCAAGGGCAAAAATGAACTACTGGGACTTCATCAAGATAAAAAGTTTTTGCAAAGCAAAGGAAACAGTCAACAAAACCAAAAGACAACCGACAGAATGGGAGAAGATATTTGCAAATGACATATCAGATAAAGGGCTAGTATCCAAAATCTATAAAGAACTCATCAAACTCAACACCCAAAGAACAAAGAATCCAATCAAGAAATGGGCAGAAGACATGAACAGATATTTTTCCAAAGAAGACATCCAAATGGCCAACAGACACATGAAAAAGTGCTCAATATCACTCGGCATCAGGGAAATCCAAATCAAAACCTCAATGAGATACCACCTCACATCAGTCAGAATGGCTAAAATTAACAAGTCAGGAAACGATAGATGTTGGCGGGGATGCGGTGAAAGGGGAACCCTCCTACACTGTTGGTGGGAATGGAAACTGGTGCAGCCACTCTGGAAAACTGTATGGAGGTTCCTCAAAAAGTTGAAAATAGAGCTACCCTATCATCCAGCAATTGCACTACTGGGTATTTACCCCAAAGATACAAAAGTAGGGATCCGAAGGGGTACGTGCACCCCGATGTTTATAGCAGCAATGTCCACAATAGCCAAACTGTGGAAAGAGCCAAGATGTCCATCGACAGATGAATGGATAAAGAAGAAGTGGTATATATATACAATGGAATATTATGCAGCCATCAAAAGGAATGAGATCTTGCCATTTGCAATGATGTGGATGGAACTGGAGGGTATTATGTTGAGTGAAATAAGTCAAACAGAGAAAGACATGTATCATATGACCTCACTGATATGAGGAATTCTTAATTGTAGGAAACAAACTGAGGGTTGCTGGAGTGGGGGGTGGGGTGGGAGGGATGGGGTGACTGGGTGATAGACACTGGGGAGGGTATGTGCTCTGGTAAGCGCTGTGAATTGTGCAAGACTGTTGAATCTCAGATCTGTACCTCTGAAACAAATAATGCAATATATGTTAAGAAAAAAAAAGAAGAAAAAGAAGGTAGCGGGAGGGGAAGAATGAAGCGGGGGAAATCGGAGGGGTAGACGAACCATGAGAGACGATGGACTCTGAAAAACAAACAGGGTTCTAGAGGGGAGGGGGGTGGGAGGATGGGTTAGCCTGGTGGTGGGTATTGAGGAAGGCACATTCTGCATGGAGCACTGGGTGTTATACACAAACAATGAATCATGGAACACTACATCTAAAACTAATGATGTAATGTATGGGGATTAACATAAGAATAAAAGAAAAAAGAAAGAAAACAATTGAGAAACTTGTTTTTATGCACATTACATGGAGAAATAAGAAGTTGAAAGATTATTGAGTAAAAATGGAGCATTTAAATAATAAAACCAAGTGGTTATACTTCCAGTTTGGAAGTCTTCCATTTTTCACTTCTAATTCTCAAACTCCAGAACGCACTGTTTTGGTGTCACTAAAATTCTAGATTAGCCACAGAGCCGTAGTGAGTTTGTCTTAAAGCAACAAAGATTAAAGGCCAAATATCTATCACTGCAATAATGGCGATTTCTAAGTCTTAATTTCAAAAAAGTCAGTTTTCAGCTGAATGTTTGGATTCATATGGACAGAATAATTTCTAAAGAAGAATATATATGTTTTATTTAGATGCATTTCTCAGTATGTATGGTAACGCCACTTAGTCTCATTATGATTAACTTTAAGAAATGTTATTTTGAATTCTGCTTTTTGCCCATTTGCTTTCTTTACAATAATATGTTTTTATCACAATAATATGTTTTTATATATTTACTTTTTAAAGTCCATTAATACAAGCCAGCAATTTATGGAGATAAATGATGTTCTGAATAGTAAAAAAAAAAAAGTATTTTTATGATTATTACATTGATAAAATCAGACAATGACACTACAAGGAAAAACGAGATCAACATTCCCTAAGAATATAGATACAAAAATCCTCAAAAAAAAAATGGCAAAATGAATACAATTGAATATATTGAAAGGGATACTACATTATGAGTATGTGTTTAATGCAGGATTGCAAGGGAGATTCAGTATTCAAAAAACTAAATCAATGCTATTAATTATATAAATAGAATAAAGGAGAAATGCCATATGTCATTTTAACAAATGCAGAAAAAGAATTTGATCAAATTCAACACCTGTTAATGATAAAAACTCTTGGCAAACTAGAAATGGAAGGGAGCATCCTCAACCTGATTAACAATATCTACCAAAAACATAAACAACAAAAGCCCTGTTAGTATCATTCAGGTGAGAAACTGAATTATCTCCACCTGAGCTTAGAACCCTGTTAAAGGCGTCCACTCTCACCACTTATATTCAGTGTTGCACTGGAGGTTCTTGCTGGTAAAATATGGTACAAAAACAAAAATAAAGGACATCAAACTGGAAAACTGTCTTTATTTGCAAACAGCAAAATCTTGTAGGTAGCAAATTCTAAAGCATTTGTGAAAATAAAAAGCCAATAGCAATAAGTAAATTTATAAGGTTCACTGACTACAGGGTCAACATACAAAAATCAGTTTCATTTCTATGAGATGTTAATTCTCTCTGTACTCATCTGTATGTTCTACACAATCCAGTCAAAATCCCAGAGGAATTTTTGTAGAAATTGCTGAAAAATATATAAAAAACAGGGGGAAATAGAGGTTTAAGAGTACAGTTATCATGATGAGCACTGAGAAATGTATAGCATTGTTGAATCATATTACATACCTGAAACTAATATAACACTATGTTCATTATACTTGAATAAAAATAAAATAAAACAAAACACATATCAGTATGTGAATATTGATATGAATATTCAATATTCATATAGCCAAACAACTTTGAAAAGGAAAATAAGGATGACACACCACCTGATTTTAAGACGTGCTCTAAAGCTATATTTAAAGTGGCATTGCTTTAAACATAAACAAATAGAACAATGGATCAGAATACAGAGTCCACAACTGGAGCCACACCTATAAAGACTATTAAATTTTGACAAAGATTGCAATGTAATTCAATGGCAAAATGGTAGTCTTTTCAATAAATCGTGGCGGAACAACTGGATATTGTAGTGGGTTTAATAATATCCCCCACATACAAATTTATATCCACCTAAAAGCTCAGAATGTAACCTTATTTGGAGAAAGTTTCTTTGCAATTGTAATTAGTTAAGGATCTCAGGACAATACCATGCTGGAATTAGAAAAATCTCTAAATCCAATAACTGATGTCCTTACAAGAAGAGGAGAAATCAAGTGACACACAGAGAAGAAGACCATGTGAAGAGGGAGGCAGAGATTGGAGTTATGCTGTGACAAACCAGGGAATGGCTGGAGCCATGAAAGGCTGGAACAAGTAAGGAAGGATTTTTTCCCCAGAGCCTGTTGACATCTTCATTTTGGATTTCTGGCTTGTGGAACTGTGAGATAATAAATTTATGTTACTTTAAGCCACTCAGATTGTTGCAATTTGTTATAACAAATAACCTCTACTCTTACCTCACACCATACTCTAAAATTAATTGAGGATGGATCATAGACCAAACTAAATGCTAAAACTATAAAGCTTCTAGAAGAAAATATAAAATATTTTTATGACACTGACAGTAGTAAAATCTCCTGGACAGATCACAAAAAGCACTAATCACTTAAAAATGGATAAATTGAACTTCATCAAAATTTAAAACTTCTGTTCTTCAAAAATACCATTAAGGAAATGAAAAGGCAAACCACCACCTGGGAGAAAATATTCACAATGTTTCTAATCTGATAAAATATTATGTTTAGAATATACAAGAAGCTCCTAAAAATCAATAACAAAAACACAGCCCAACAAAAAAAAGGCAAAAGATTTGAGCATATACTTCAGAAAAGAAGACTGAATTGCCAGTAGTTTTATGAAACCCACCCAGCATTATATGTCACTAGGGAAGTTGCCAATTAAAACCACAATAAGAGGGTAATCTTAAGGTGAAACTGTATGAGAACTATCTGTACTGTATCACTTTTCTCTAAATCTAAAGTGATTTCAAAATATTTTTTTATTTTTTTATTTGAATATAACTGACACATTTTTACATTAGTTTCAGGTGTATAACATAGTGACTCAACTCTATATGTTATGCTATGCTCACAGGTGTAGCCACCATCTGTCACCATTCAATGCTATTAAAATATCATTGACTATATTCTTTATGCTGTGTTTTTCATTCCTGAATTCAACTCAGGATCATTCCCGTGACATATTCATTCCATAACTGGAAGCATGTATCTCCCACTCCCCTTCATCCATTTTGCCCATCCCCCCACCCCTCGCCCCTCTGGCAACCTTCAGTTTGTCCTCTATTTACAGGTCTGATTCTGTTTTTTGTTTCTTTGTTTATTCATTTGCTTTTTTTTTTTTTTAGATTTTATTTACTTATTTGAGAGAGAGAGGGAATGAGCAGGGAGGAGGGGCAGAGAGAGAAGGAGAAGCAGACTCCCCAGTGAGCAGGGAGCCCGATGCGGGGCTGGATCTCAGGAACCTGAGATCATGACCTGAGCCGAAGGCAGATGCTTAACCCACTGAGCCACCCAGACACCCACATTTGCTTTTTTTAAGATTCCACCTAGGAGTGAAATCATGTGGTATTTGTCTTTCTCAGTCTGACTTATTTCATTTAGTATACTACCCTCTAGGTCCATCCATATTGTCACAAATGGCATGATCTCATCCTTTTTTTTTTTTTTTATGGCTGTGTAATATTACGTATATATACCACATCTTCCTTATCCATTTGTCTATCAGTGGATACCTAGGTTGTTTCCATATCTTGTCTATTGTAAATAATGCTGCAATAAACATCAGAGTGTATATATCTTTTTGAATTAGTGTGTTCATTTTCTTTGGGTAAATACCCTTGTATACTGTTGGTGGGAATGTAAATTAGTACAGCCACTGTGGAAAACAGTATAGAGGTTCCTCAAAAAGTTAAAAATCGAAATACCATATGATCCAGTAGTTTCAAAATAGTTTTTTAAAAAACCAATGAGACATAAGGAGGGCACGTGTTGTGATGAGCACTGGGTGTTATACACAACTAATGAACTCTACATTAAAAACTTATGATCTACTATAAAAAAATAGAAACCTAATAAAAACAAACAAACAAACAAAAAACCCAATGAGATACTACCACACACCCACCAGAATGGCTAAAATAAAAAATACCAACAACACCAATTTTTGGCAAGGGTGTGAAGCAACAGGAACTCGTATATATTGCTGGTGGGCTGGTAAAATTTTACAAACAATTTCAAAAAACAACTGAAAAAAAATAAACCTATATCTATTTGACTCAGCCACTAGACTCTTAGATATTTGCCAAAGATAACTGAAAACATATGTCCACAAAATGACTTGTACATAAATGTTTATAGCAGCATTATTCAATATAGCCCCAAATCAGAAACAAATCAAATTCTATCAGTATAAGAATAGGTAAATCAACTGCAGTATATTCATAGCATGGACATCCCTCAGTAATAAGAAACAACTAATACATGCATGCAACAACATGGATAAATCTCAAAAATGTTAAGTACAAGAAGCTAGATACAAAAAAATATGCATACTGTATGCTTTTATGCATATGAAGTTTAAGAGCTGGCAAAGCCAATCTGGGGGGAATGGAAAACAGAACAGTGGTTGCCAGTTGCAGTAGAGACTGGACTGGAAGGGAATACAAGAGAATTTTGGGGGACTGTAGAAATATTCCATATCTTTACTGAGGTTGTGGTTACATAAGTATACACATTTTTCATAATGCATCAATTTTATACTTAAAATATGCGTATTTCACTATATATAAATTTCACTTTGATTTTTAAAAAAGAAAAAGGGGCCCCTGGGTGGTGCAGTTGGTTAAGGCGTCCAACTCTTGCTTTCAGTTCAGGTCATGATCTCAGGGTCGCAAGATGGAGCCCCCCATCAGGCTCTGTGTTCAGCACAGAGTCTGCTTCGGATTCTCTCTCTCCCTCTCCCTCTACCCCTCCCCGCTTTGTGTTCGCTCTCTCACTCTCTTTCTGTAAAAATAAATAAATCTTTAAAAAAGGAAAAAAGAAAAAGAAAAGAAAACCTAAGTCTTAGAGAGGCAGAGGCAAATGATTTCCCCAGTTTTGTGTCAAGTTCATGCAGGTGCCTTAGGACCTAGATCTCACTGTCTCAGCAAACATCTTTATACCCGGCAACTGATACTCCAACAACAAAAATGGACAATTCCATACTCTTAGCGCTTCAATCCAATCAATCCAATCCCACCTCAGTCCAATCCCAGGTGTATGAAAAGCCAATCCACTGTGTCTTCCAGCTTCCCTTCTCTCTTCAGTGCAGATCTCAGATGTGTTTCCAACTCCTAAAAGAATGGGAGTCCTTCACAGAATGCCTCAACTTTATTTTCCAACTTATCCAAGCCATATCCCCAAAAGCAAGGATTATAAATGCATTTCCACCACCTTGTTGGGTTTATGTTTGATGCAAAAGCCAAATAGGGAACTGTCAACCTTTTGCTGGAGAAGTAAAACAGTAAGACAGGCACAAGTATTATACCCCAGTGTTTATCCTGTCTTGTAATATAACTAATGGTTATTTTTTTACCCACTTTGCTTTAATGACCAAGGATTTTGGTGTTCAAAATTGCTATTGTCCAAGCATCCCCTAATATAGCTGTAGTCCCAGGAGTTGTAGAGGTCCTAAGGGACTACAGTTGCAGCCCTCCACAAATACCTCTAATACTAGCAAATGCCAACTCAACAGAAAAATCGATGGTATACTCTCGGAACTACTTCATACTTCATAAAGTACTAATATTCACGATTACCACTTCCATTACATCCTCTCATCTGGTGAACTTGATGAGGAAATCTGCTTCTCAATAATAATCGTAGCTACTATTTACTGAACATTTGAATCAGGCACCGCTGTGCATTGTTTTATTTTATCCTGAAACAACCCTATTAGATAAGTATGACTATAATAATACCCATTTTCCAGATGAAGAAACTGAGATGCACAGAAGTGACACAATCAGTAAGTGGCAGAACTGGGAATTCAACTCAGGATCACCTAACAACAGAGCTCTCACTCAAATACTAAGCTATGCTGCTTTCTTGCTAAATCTTTATCAGGCCCATAGTTTGGGTTTGCTTACAAAGGGAGTTTGAGCCATGAATACAGCTTCTGACATGTTATAGTAAATTCACCCCTGCATGATGACAGGAGAAAAGGGGGCATATGATCACAGTTATAAAATTGTTTCAAGATAATAAAGGAGGGAGGATCACTAGGGGAATCTAGTTATCAAAATATTTACCTGGACAGTCTCTGGAATCATTGCTGTGCTGGTAAGGGAAATAATAAGTCATTGCCCAGGGATCCTGTCCTTTGAGTATTCAAAAGAGAAGAACTTCTTGGCAATTGAATTTATAGCCATTAAATGCTTTCATTGCAATGCTTGTTTTCTTTTTCAAGCCATTAATTGCAGTTGGAAATATTTAGGGACCTCAAGGTAAATTGTTCAGCCTTAACGGGAATCTGGCATGACTTGCAAAGTGTTACAGAAGGCAGGTCCAGAATGAGTCTTGATTTCCTCCTAGGCACCACAATGGGGTACCTCAGGGTCCAGCCCTTAAAAGCTTCTACCCTCACACAAAACAGTGGAGTCGTCATTTTTCAGAATAAGAAAATACTTCTTTCAGTTCATGCCATAGGTATGAAGAGTTTTTCAAGTTTTCCTGAACATTTTTCCATCTTTCTTGCAACAATAGAAGATTATTCAAATTAACCTCATCCATTCAGATATTTAACATCAAAATATCCACATTCAGAGATAAAAGAAGATTTTCTATCTCAAGAACTGCTTATTAACTGTTCTTATCTGGTCAAATTTCACTAGGCAGACCACAGGAAGTTGTAGATCCTAGCGCTTCCCGGATATTGGACTTTCTCCCACATCTCTGCCTGGGAACTGCCAGCTGAGTTATTGCTGTCGGAGAATTATGCAGTGTGTCTGGGCTTTGAGGTTATCTGATCAGCACAGGCACTGGTAAGTAAAGTTTACTTTCCTCCCAGCCGAAGAATTACAAACTCAGAGTCTCCAGCCTGGAATAAACTAAAAGCCCATTTTGTCCAACTTGTAGTCAATGCCTGTGTCACTTGAGCATCATATTCAGGCTCCTGCAATAACAGAAGAATAGAAATAAATTTACTGAATGTTTACTGTATACTAAAGATAATGTTTTATGCATCATTTCATTTAATATTTATAATAACACTCTAACATAAAAATTATTTTACAGATGACAAAAATAAAGTTCAGAGAAGTTAGATGGTTTAGCCAAGGTTATATAGAAGTGGCAAGACCAAGATTCAAAACCATTTCTGTCTGCAGAGCCCATACCCTTAAGCATCACATTGTCCCTCATAATTAAATTATCTGAGGTAATTCCCAGCTCTAATAGTCCATCATGGTGTTCCTGAAAGTTGACTCATACTTGTCAGAATATCCGTATCAGTGTTAGGCTTAGAAAATTTGGTTACCATACCTCTTCCTTCTCATTTTTCCTCTTCCTCTCCCAACAAAAACAACAAACCTATTGTGATTTTTAATATTAGTCCCTCTATCCATGGTGAGAAAAAACATTGGTTAACATAAAAATAAAACTGGTCATCAAATCATGAATTTCTAAGACAAAATAAAAACCTAACTTGAAGACAATATGGGAAAATTGGGACCAAAGATAAACCTGTCATAAGCCATTATTAAGTCATCCCCCAAAGTCTCATTGAGTTCAAATTTAAATAGACTCAAGATCTCCTGGTCAAAATGAATCTCATAGTTTTTTACTGGGTTATATAAAACAGAATGGCAAGAATTGTTTCTCTGACTTGTTTACAGTTATTTGTGTTCAGAGCTCTTCTCCCTTTCTACCTGCTTGTTGGTGGCCTCTTCCAAAGGAGGGACCATGTCTCTCATTTATTTCTGTTTTTATTTTAAAGTGCCTATACATTTATCCTTCTAACATTTATTGAGCACCCCTTTTGTCCTTGACACTGTATTGAGCCCTGGATGCACTTGAAAAAACATAGTCTCATCGCAGTTTAGTGACAAAAACAAACTCTAAACCAACAGCTGCAATTTAATACACAGAATGCTCTAATAGAAGTATGTGCACAGTGTCACACATATTACAGATGCTCAATATCCATTTGTTCAATTTAATTTACTTAAAGAAAAGTTTAGTTCAGTAAAGGGGGACCATGACCTATGAGGTATATCAAGGTCACAATAAGTATCTAAAACCAAGTGTTCTTAATGCAAGTTCCCCCATAACTCCCACTTACTTCCCCAAATTAAGACCAGCACACAGAGACTAAGGATATTAAAATGGAAGAACCAATTCCCTACTTTTAGGTGTTTTTACCCCAACATTCCACTCGGCAAGTGTGATCTTAGAGAATACCCTATTATCATATGGCCCAAAAATAAGTTATGAGTGGGTTGGGACTGAAGATAGTAGCAAATGATGAAGTACAAACTTTCCCATGTCAGTATTGGTGAAAGTTTTAGGGGTAGAGAGGGTGGGGATAGAGGATGTTTACCATGGATGGATACAAAATGACAAGCTAAAAGTGATATGGGTAAGAGCTTCTGAAAATAGGGAATAGACAGTTGTATAATGTTGGGTGGTAGAGAGAAGTAGGTAAATAATTAGTGTTTCCAGCAGAGGTAAACAGTAAACAAGACTAGGTAATCAGTAAGAAGTTGATGAAAACCAATTACTAAAGTAGATTACTGGTTGTTTTTGGATGGTTATTAGGAAAAATGTTTGGGTGGGATATCATTGCAGGAGAAAAGAGCCAGACATGCTGGAGATTCTCCAATTTCCTGTCTCTTCCACACTCTACAATCCCTCTCTACTCACATTTCTTTATTTCCTTGCCCTCACCTTTCTCTTTGATCCACAGTTTTCATCAAACAAGTATTTATTTATCCCTATTGTAGATAAAGCATTATGCCAGGTATGGAGATAAATGATACATGGTTCCTGCCCTCAAAGAGTTGACAAAGAGAAGGAGATGAATATGTACTATATATACTCAATTAACCACAATTTTTTGAAGAAAGTGGTATGTGTTAGAGGAGGAAAAAACCAAACTGCTGTGAGAGCACTAGAGGAAAATATTAATTCTGACTTGGGAAAAAGACTTCTTCGAAGACAGAAATAAATGGCTAGAATTTTAATGGAGAGAATATGGATGGGTAGCCATTCTGTTCAGAGGGATGTGAGCAAAGTCATAGAAAGTGGCATGTCTGGATAATGCTGACTATATCAAATCTAGGGAGGCCAACTCATCGTAGTTTGCCTATGATTTCCCAGGTTTTTGCACTGGAAATCCTGCATCCCAGGAAACTTCTCAATCCCAGGCATAAGGGACTGTTGGTCATTCTAAATAAGAGAAAAAAAAGAACGTTAAAATTATACAGCATTTTTGCAGCTTGACTGTAATTTGTACACACAATAGGCTATTACCTATGCATTGTTCTATGGAAGAAAAAATAAATTAGTTGCCTCTTCCCTTATAAATAAATAATAAATAAATAAATAAATAAATAAATAAATAAATAAATAAATAAATAAATATGGGACTTTGGGTACATACATCACAGAGAGCAAACAAATAAAAGAGACACCAAGGATCAGTGAATACAACCAACAGAAAATTAGGTAGGACAGATAATAAAGGATAATGAAGGGTACTGAATGTTAGGCTAAGAAATTATGACTTGATTTTGGAGGTGGTGGAGAATGAAAGGTTTTGGATAAGGGAGTGATATAATCAAAACGTAAGGTTATTCTGGAAAAAAGTGTCCAGGGAAGATGAAAAAGGTAAAATCTTTTCTTTTAGTTTTTCTTTAAATTCAACTAAGTTAAAGTACAGTGTAACACTAGTTTCAGGTGTACAATTTAATGATTCAACACTTCCATACAACACTAGGTGCTCATCACAACAAGTGCACTCCTTAATCCCCATCACCTCTTTCACCCATCCTTCTGGTAACCATCACAGTTTGTTCTCTATAGTTAAGACTCTGTTTCTTAGTTTGCCTCTCTCTTTTCCCCTTTGCTAGTTTATTTTGTTTCTTAAATTCCACATATGAGTGAAATCATATGGTATTTGTCTTTCTGTCCGACTTATTTCACTTAGCATAATACTCTAACTACATCCATGTCATTGCAAATGGCAAGATTTCATTTTTTGATGGCTGAGTAATATTCCACATCTTCTTTATTCATTCATCAGTTGAGGGACACTTGGGCTCTTTCCATAATTTGGCTATTGTTGATAATGCTGCTATAAACATCTGGGTGCACATATGGAAAAGGGTAAAATCTATTTTGGAACCTATTGCAGGAGTCCATGTGAAAGATACATAGAAGACTTTGACAAGGGAATCTGTAACAGGGAAGGAGCAGAGGAGCCACAAGACGTAACGCAGTGGTAAAAATCAACAATCCATAGTGACTGATACAAGAAATTTAAGGAAAGAGGGATGATGACTAAAGTTCCCAACCTGGTTTATTGAGAAAATTCAGGTGCCATTAGAAGTAGGATATAAAAATGATAGTTTTGAAATAGGATGCTGACAAGTATATTTCAGTTTTTTTAAATTTAGTTTCCAACAGTCTGGGGCTTGGGGGCCCAAACAGACATAGGACTTTTCAGCTAAAGAGAGATACCGGGCCTGTAGTTATAAGATTTGGAAGCCATGAATACAAAGAATTATACAAAGTCATAAAGCCAGATATGACCATCTATGGAAAGAGTAAAGTTATAGGACTTAGGAAGGAATATATGGTGGTCATTTGAGTCTTTCAAAAGCACTCTATTCTCACATTTTACCAATACATGACATCATTGCCATTTACCAGATACACGGCATCACTGCTATATGATTGCTTTAACCAACTAAACATGAATAAAAGAGACTTATATCATTTGCAAGCAGAAGCTTAAAGAGGCAACGCATGGTTCAACATGCCTCTTTTCTCCTGCCTTAGCAATCATTAAAGTATGCATCAAGAAGAATATTAATCAGTCTGGGTACCTAGGTAACTTCAGTGAGCAGAGACCCACTGCTGATAGATTTGTAGCATGAGCAAGAAATAAACTTTTGTTGTTTCAAGCCATTCAAAATTTGAGGGTTGTTTGTTCCTCTAGAGTAAGCTAGCTTATCTTGAATACTATAGAAATTTTAGAAATGCATATATTTAGAGGTCTGAAAGAAGAGGGAGCTGACATAGTAAAAGAATAATCAAAAAGGTGAGGGGTGAATTGAGAGAAAATGAATCTTAGAAGCCAGGGAAGAAAACATTTCAAGAGGTGAGAATGGTAAAAAGTGTTAGATAAAATTAATTAAAGACAGAGAAAGAACATTGGATTCAGCCATTAGTAGTACACTGGGTCACTTTCTAGTAGGTTCAGTTGTGTGATGGAAACAGAAACTGTGAGCTGACTTATTCATCTTGTATAACTGAAACTTTGTACTCTTTGACTAGTACCTCTCCATTTCTCCTTCCTCGCAGTCCTTGGCAACCATCATTCTATCCTCTGCTTGTATGATTTTGACTATTTTAGGTTCTTCATGTAAGTAGTATCATGTAGTATTTGTCTTTCTGTGCCTAGCGTATTTCACTTAGCATTAATACCTTTCAGGTTTATCCATGTGGTCACAAATAGCAGGATTTCCTTCTTTTTTAAGCTGAATAATATCCCATTGTATGTATATGTTACCAGATTCGGGTTATTGGGCCTGACAACCATAAAAATGAGGCTGGACCCCAGGATCAAAGGCACAGGTAGGCTTTATTGGGGCTACAACTTGACTTGAAGGAAGACAGAGCAACAGCAGAGGTTAGGCTTGTCTCCCTAAACAGAGGGCGAGGCTCTGTTTATATATATAGAAAGTTCCCTCCTCCTGATGGGTTGGAAGGCAACTCAGGCAGATCATTGGTGCTTTCTGGAGCCCAGTGTCCCCTATTTTAAGTCTGGCTTGTATCTGGGGCTGCATTCTTGAAGCATCCCGGTTCTGCTGTAACCACAACCACCAACAGAAAGCCCCCAGGTGTACAGTGTTTTTCACTTGGGGCTTGTTCCCATGAGCCCTGACTGCC